GGCCTATAGATTAAAGTGTTGGCCTCTTATTCAAACATCCCGGGTTCGAATCCGGGTAGCGACCTGAAATTTTTCTTCTTTAAAATTGTCTCCTTTCACCTCCTTTCCTGCTCTCTTGCTATATTCTGTCGTCTGCTTTCGCCTCCACTTTCTGCCCCCACCTTCTTTGCCCCCTCCTCTGGGCTCCTGACTCTTTCTGCAGCCTTTCCACTGCTTCTCCCTGGCTCCTTCTTACTGCTGTCTAAAAGCCACACCCTTGTTCTTCTGGTAGGAAAGATCTATACCTAGCCTTCTCAGACAAGGGCGAAAAGTCTCGTTGGTCCCGTGTGCAAGTTGCACTCTTTAAAGAACTCTTGGTGGTCCAAAATCGATAAGAGTAGGCTGCGGCCACCACCTGGGCAAAATTCAAAATTTCTTACCAACTGAAAAATGTTCGGTGTGTCCCACGCGCTCATATGACCTTATGCAGTTGCAAGCGCCGTAAAACACTTACCCCCCCAAAAAATAATAATGTAAAAAAATTTAAAATTCTTTTTTTTAAAAACCCACCAAAAAAATGCTATGAATCTCTTTATTGTCACCGTGCCTCTTTGTGTTCAGTGCCTGGTCTACTGTGTTCTGTTCCAAACATTTTCTTGTGCTGGGTCTCCCTTCTCTTCTTATTGTCTGCACTCTGATATAGGTCACGACACGGTGGAGTCATGCGCTCGTCAATTTTTTGGCATATGGAGTTATTGGTATCATCTTAAAGCCTGTCCATTTGCCTTGATTTCGATAAAAACAATACCCATTTATCTTGGAGACAAGTCGATGTATTTGCGATTGAAGGAGGTGGGGCCGCCTGGTTTCAGAGGTAAAATTAGCGAGAAAATGGCCACCAAAGTTTAGTTATATAAATTTCCTTAGCTTGAGAGCCCTTGGAAACTAACTATTTACATCTTTTATGCATTTAATCAATGTTTTTCACTAAAGTACACACTGAAATGTGTTTTTAATGGGCTTAAAAGGTGTGAAAAACGAAAATTGGATAAAAATTCCCAAACCGGCGGGAAAATGCCAGTTTCTTTGCTTTCATTATTTTGACGAGCGCCTGATTTCACCACGCTGAATCACATATAATTTTTGTCTACCCAAATGTCTTTTTTTGTTTTTTCTATTCGTTTTTTTTTTTTTTTCACAGATAATTGTAACAAATTATGCCCTTATTTGATCAAACAACACGAATGAGTTTCATTATTGCCATTGCTCTCTAAACAGAAAAGAACAGGTGGTCGTGATGTCAAAAAACTGACCCTTCATCTTTCTTTTGCATGGCTTCAGACTCTGGTTGGACAGTTAAGACAGGCAAAGGCGGGAAAACCTGTCAATGAAGAAGAAATTCCTCCTCCCGTGGCTATGGGGGCTAGCCTGGCTGTGAGCGAGCATACAGGGGGTTCAACCCCACAGTCTGATTCTCCACAGAGCCAATCAGGTAAAGTCTGTTAAATAGTTTTTAGACGAAACATAAAAAAACTTAATAAAGAAATGGACAATTTCTTTCGGCATAATTTATCTGTGGGTGGTTGGCGGGTGCTCTAGTGTCGTTTGCTTCTTCTTTCCTATCAAACATCTATTGTCCTTATCTCCCCTCCTTCTTTTTTATGTTTGTTACTCTCTTGTAACACCTCTAATCTTCTGGCGCTCATTTGACCTTATGCAGTTGCAAGCGCCGTAAAACCTCTACTAAAACTAAAGATAATTTATCTGCTATTTTACCAAATAAATTGTGGAGGTAAGTATATTATTATTATGGGTTCTTGAAAGCAGTTGACAGTTTATAAAGTGATGATACAATAGATTGAGCTAGATCTCCCTATTCTGTAATTTGGTGTTATGGGTTAAAATTGTAAATATGAAGGTGATTATGAGCAGTTGAGAGTTTGCGGTCACAGAAATTTGTTTTTGAGCAAGACGTGCATAGTGACATAGACTTTGGCTTAATGATAATGTATGAAATGTGGTGACCAGCAATGGAGTGCTTGTGTTTATGAATTTGTTAATTTATTACGTGGCATTTGCGCTGTGATCGGAAAAAGAATGGGGTGCTTTTTGATGATATCAGATGGTTTGTGGACACTTTGGTATGCTCTATTTCTCCTCCTTCATTTTCACAGTTTCTATTGTACTAACCAGTTTGTGACAAAGAACAGCTGTTATTGAAAAGGTGCTTATCCAGATTTCTATAGTTGGAATTGTCCACGTTTTGTGACATACTCTGCTTATGTATCTATATTATATTATATTTCTGAAAGGTCGTCACTTTGGCCGCCTAAAGCTTCCAAACCTCTTTACTTTCGAATTTGAAAAAAATTACGGTGTTTCAGAATTTTAAAGACAGTTTTATTAAGGAGTCTGAAGTCACTGTAGTTTAATTTTCAGTTTTTCGTTAGTTTAGATCTAATCTCAGGGAAGTCCGTTTTATAAGATGCTATTGTAAACAAGTGATGCTTCCGTTCACAAGCAGTGCACACTGATCCCACACTGATTTGACAATCGGTTCTTTTGAGTCCATTCATAGAACGTTTACCCAGCTAGTTTTATCTATTTCAATCTCTTTTTGCATGTTATATTGCACTTTTTATAAAAAATAGTCTTGGTACAAAATGCATTAGACAGTATGATCAATAGATTTGGAGTTTCTGCAGGTACTGGAAAAATTCAGGATTTTTCTTTTCCGTAGCCAGTTTTCACCTCTGTTATTGAGTAGATCTTCTGTCTTTTTTGTTCTCGATGACAGCAGCTAGACAGTCAGTCGGATGTCGCACACAAACTCTGCAGTCCGCTTCAAATCTGAGAGACTGCCATAGAGCTTTCTCTCAAGAGGAGTCACATTCTGCAATATCTGTGTACGAAGGGTGGCATAGCGCTGGCAGTGCTGAAGGATATGGTTGGCATCCTCTTGGTAGTGTCCACGTTTGCAGATCGTGGACTCTCCCACTTTTAATTTATTATGCATATGGTGTTTCAGTCTGTTGTGGCCACAATGGAGTCGAAAGAATGTGACTTGGTCTGCTCTATTTAGCATGTAGTAGGGGCCACGTCTGTTTTGGTTAGGATGGGTTCTTTACAATCTATTTCGTAGGGCAGCTTTTATTAACGTTTTTAGATCTTCAGTTATGTACACTTGACACAGCAGCTCAATTGTTAATCATGACTGTTCTGGACCTCTTCCCAGAGCCCTCCACGTCCTCATTCATTGCCCCTCCAGCTCCAAAACCAAGCTCTCCTCCAGCGAGACCCTCACCTGGTGGGTCCCTAGCAAGCAACGGTATGTGCTTAACTCTTTATCTCTGAGAAGGGTAAACTCACTATGCCGGGGCCCTCTTTTAGTGCGAAATCTTAAAATTGACACATCCATTCATCTCTAAATTTGTAATTAAATCGAACAAGTGAACCTATTGTGATAGTTCTTCATTAAGGAAAACACCTCCGGTAAAAGAGACCTACTTTCGGCAGTTGCCGAAAGGTAATTTGATGTTGGCACAGCGGCTTGCCGTAGATTAGGAGTTAATGTGAACTGTAATGAGATTGTACAAAAAGGTGCTTCAATGGAAAATGAAAGAAAGAGAAAATTCAAATTCATGAAACTAGTTTGATAGAAACTTGCGGCTTTTATTCAATTGTTCTAGTTTTTGTTTTACTAGAGGTTTTACAGCGCTCGCAACTGCATAAGGTCATATGAGGGCCAAGAGGTGTATGTTAACTGAAAAGTCCTTACAGGGAATTAGACTCTGCTCGCCTCTTTTGCTTCAACAGCGCATAGTCTGCTTCGACTATCAAGGCACCCCGGAAATAACTCACAAGAGTATAACAAACATACAAAAGAAGTAGAGGATTAATGAAGATAGCAAGGATTAGGAAAGACAAAACAGCAGTTCCCTGTGGCAGTTCAGGCACAGTTATGAGCATGACATTGATGAATCAGGCCATTTACAACTTACAATTCTTCTGTGCATAAGAACATGTTTACGGCCCCCCTTTGGGAATGGCCTGAAGACACTTCAGTCAGTAGCCCGTCCCGGGTTGTTCTATTTCTGCTGATTGTTATGTACAAGATGTCAGATGTGGGAGCTGGGGAGAAGAGAGTAAGCTATCTTTCTTAACCCTATCCGTATGCCTTGGGGTCATTTTGTACCTCCGGAGTTGTATTCTTCACATTTTATAATACTTCTAGTGTGAAGATCTCTTTGAAACTTTCAGTATTTCTCAAAAAATAATTTTGACAGACTGCTATGCAAAGCGTACGGATTGGATCAACGAGTAAATTTCTTCTTTGGAAAGTGGTGGCACAGAGTTCCCCCCGACAAGCATCATCAGACAGGCTTTGACGCGGAATCCACAAGGAAAACATAAGAAAGGAAGACCAAAAATGACATGGAAACGAGTGGTACAAGCAGAAATGAAAAAGGCGGGAACATCACAGAAAGAGCTAGAAAAGGATGCACAGGTCAGCTTCAGCTGGCGAAATGTTGTTGATGGCCTATGCTCCACTGGGAGTTAAAAAGGGCAAGAGAAAGAAAGATGCCGATAGCACGCAGGAAATTAACACTTGTCCGTGGGTCCTTTAAAAGTGCTGAATGTGGGTCACTGAAATGTCCCAGCAAACGTGTTGCTGTCCACCTGAATAATCGGAATTGTGTAGATGGAGACATAAAGCATCTTCAGTCTGCAAGCAATTCTTGATGCTGCTAATCATGTTGAATAATGGAATTTACCCAAACAAAGCTGTTTTACTCTGCCTGTTCTTAGTCTAACTGCTGTTTTTTATTTTAAAAGAAATATGAATTATTTTCTGTTGAATTAGATATTCTTTAGTAAAAAACCCTTGCCATCATAAGCATTTTGGGGAAAATCCAAAGAAACTGGGTGGTAAAAATCGCCGATCGGCAAGATGTGATTGCAAAGTGTTAAGAGACGTTTTTTGAAAAGACCATTTTCGCATTTCTTCCAGTAGCCAAGTCTGCTGTTGTTGAAAGGAGAGACCAGTATCGAAGAGCTGCCTTACAAGCCAAGCACGCAGGGAACTTGGATAAAGCTCGAGAATACGTGAAGGTTTCAAAGGTGTGTTCTGCCTGCAGTTATTTGTAAACTTAATGATCTGGGAATTTGACATAATGGGATTCAGGTTGTAAGATCCAGTTCAATGATAATCTTTCACTCTTTTTTAGCTTTAAGTTTGTTGTTTTGAAATTATACTGCCAAAAGTTTTGGAAATATATGCTGTGTTCCTCAAGATTGTGTTATATGGTTTAATAATTGTTTCTCAGTCATTGTTATAACTTGTGTACTTTCTGTTTCAGTATTGTTTAGAAAAGAAGTATTACCATCTTAACATTTTTAGCACACATTGTACATTTATTTGTAATTCTTATTGGTCCCATGGTTCTTTACATGGATTCAATTTTGAGCTCATGACTGTCAGTGTAGTATGAGTCAAGGCCTAATCAAGGCCTAAAGAAAGAAGAGAAGACAAAGGGCCAGAAGAAAAAAGTCATAAAAGACTATATGTGAAGTGTGCTGACAAAATGAGTTACTTCTCAGATTTTACACCGATGGAAATAGAAACATGAAATTTATAGGTTGAAGTTTTATAATTTATCAGTATGAAATGACAAAAGACATGTTAAACTTGAAGAGAATGGCATTGGTTTAGAGTCTACAAACATGACCCTAGTGTTGATTTTTGGCTGACATCTCCATTCATGGAGTGCGAGAAGTAACTCATTTTGTTAGCACACCTCACATATATATTTGCAGAATAATGAGTTCAAACATTTTTGGCTGTTCTCTTTCTTTGCCTCAGCAATTTGATTCTGTCATTGATGCACTTGATCAAGGAAAGCCAGTGGATCTGTCAAAAATGCCTCCACCTCCGTCAGAATTTGCAGGCAAGTGAATATATTTTGTGTCTTGAAAACATATTTTACCCTTTTGGTGCTGTCAGTCTCAAAAGCAAAATATTGTTTTTTAAACTTAATATAAATATAGTAAACTGAGAAAATAGTATGCACCTGGGGTTAGTCATATTAAATAGGCTGAGAGATGGGGAGGTAGGTGTTGGGTATTTCCCGAATTTTTTTAATCTTATAACTGGTATGACCATATGCATATGAACGTTGTTAAAAAAAGCAAAAGGACACATCTAGGAATGAATAAGTGTGGCTTTTAATCTTTATTACCTTTTATAAGAACTTTACTTTTTTAAAGAATTAAATGTTTTATAGTGGATAGGGGTATCCTTTGCCCAAACTCAGGCGCTCGCAAAAAAAACTTGAAAAGTAGAGGCACCCTACGAGGCTCTCTGTCATACAAGGCCCCTATGACCATATGTGAAGCATGCTGACAAAATGAGTTACTTCTCGGATTCGGCCCTATGGAAATACATACATCATGCTTATAGGTGAAGTTTTTACAATTTACAAGTATGAAATAAGAAGACATGTTATACTTAAAGAATGTGGCATCAATAGAAAATCTACAAATTTTACTGTAGTGTCGATTTTTAGCCAATATCTCCATTTGTGGATTGTGAGAAGTAACTCATTTTGTCAGCCCGCTGCTTCCACTTTGGGCTGAGAAGGCTACAGACAGATGGAGATACTAAAATAGATAAAAAATAAATTACACTTTTATTGATCGCAGAAGGGCAATATGGTTTACAGTGGCAAACATACATACATACATACATACATACATACATACATACCTACCTACCTACCTACCTACCTACCTACCTACCTACCTACATATGTACATACGTACGTACGTACATACATACATCCATCCATCCATACATACATGCATTTATACATACATACATACATACATACATACATGCATACATGCATACATGCATGCATACGTACATATCAGGAACCTATTAGATGTTTTCTTTTTTTTTTCTGCAGGTGATGCTTTGAACACAGTCAACAAACCCCAGGCTTCTGTGCCGGTCCAGAGAGTGGCCCACCAGGCTGCTGGAGAGACAGAGCCAGAACCAGACTTGCCAGCCACCACAGCCGAAGGTTTGTCGCTTATTTCAATGGCCAGCTCTATTCGGACTTGAGGCCGATTAGATATTATATATATTCGGACTGAGTCCGAAAATAATGTTTTATGAATTTGGACTCAGCTTCTAAGTGAGTTATGTGAGTATAAGGATGTTACATAATATAACTGTCATCGGGTGATTTTACGTAAAACCAGAATTAGAACTAGAATTACTTACTAGGACTGTGTAATTGTGTCAAAAGTCAAAAGACTGCACTCTCATTGCCCAATGGCAGTGTCTAAGTACATGGTAACCGACTACTCAGGGTCTTTCCACCACCACTACAACATCATCATTACTTCCACCACCATTTGTCTTTCCACATGTTTAATTTCATTTTTTTGTGTGTTTTAGCTTTTCTGTAATTATTTTTTAAAATCACATCGCACAAAATGGACAGCCGTGGCCTCTTCCCAACACCTCTTCCCCCAGCAAGGTGAGAGTGCGTGATCATTACGCGCAGTCTTATTGGTCGACATAATTAACTTTGCCCCCGGCAAGCTCAGCTCAACTTCGTCGTTCTGTTCATACTAATGATGCAGGGAGAGCCAGTTTAGATAGATCTAGATCTAGTAACTTGATATTAAAGCTCACGTCTCCACTGTTATCATTGTAATCGAAAACGGAGTGTCCACGTACACGGTTACCTGCATTATGATATGTGTCACGACGTGGCGGAATCAGGCGCTCATCAATTTTTGGGCTTGTGAAGTCAAGATATTTGGAGATTGAAGAAGGTGGGGTCGCCTGGTTTCAAAGGTAGAATTAGCAAGAAAATAGCCACAAAGTTTGGTTATTTCCATAGCTTGATAGTCCGTGAACACTGAAAACTAGTAAAAATCCATCCAGAAATATGCTCTTAATTGGATAACAATAGTGTTAAGACCACAAAAAAAATCCGATAAAAATTGCCAAACGGGAAGAAAAATGTCAGTTTCTTCAATTTTGTTATTTTGACGAGCACCTGATTCCACCAAGCTGCCTCACATACATATACACAGTATTGCCCCTACTGTTTCAGAGGAGAAGTCCATGTTCCAGGCTCCAGATGCTCCCCGCACAGCGATGGAGGCCCTGACTCAGAGACTAGACAAGTACAAATCTTCAGAGAGCTCTGCCAAGGCTGCTGGTGAGGGCAGTAAAGCCAGACGTATGGGCAGGATAGTCAAGGTGAGTTGAAACCTTGTTGTTATTATTACTATTTATTTTTATGGGGGAGGTTGGAGGGACCAGTTGGTTGGTACCACTTCAAACATTTATCGTTCTGGTCTCTCCTCTTTCTTTTTTGTGTTTGTTACTCTATTGGAACACCTCTAATCTTGTTGCACTTATATGACAACGTTATGTTGCAAGCACTGTAAAACTCTTACTAAAACAAAACAGTCGAACTTTGTTCTTTAAGAGACTGAAACTTGTCCTTACATTCAACTCTGGCCTTTTGTCCACAGCAATATGAGGACGCTATAAAATGCTACAGAGCTGGACGTCCTGTGGACTTTGAAGAACTTCCTTGTCCTCCAGGTAAGGGAACTGTGCTGCCATCCGAAGGCAGAATGACTTATCTGACAAAATCGAAGTATATTGTTCTTTTGATTTGTTGCACTAGTCTTGCCTATATCCTTCTTGTGCTAAAGACACAATGACATCTATATGTGTCAATGTATGGTGAAATCAGGCGCTCGTCAAAACAATTGAAAATGAAATTCAACATTTTTCCACTTATTGTACAATTTTTATTGGGGTTTTTTTTCATTCTGGGCTCAATTCCTTCACATCCATTGAAAAACACATTTTTATGTGGATTTTGCAGAAAGATTTTTATCAAAGACAAGAAAAGTGTAAATGTGCAGGTTCCAAGGACACTCAAGTTTTGGAAATCACCAAACTTTGGCGCCCATTATTTCCCTAATTTTACCTCCGACAACAGGCACCCACACCTTCTTCAATTGCAAATATCTGGATTTCTGTTCAAGATAATTGAGTATATTTTTTTTTCATCAAAAGCACGGCAAATAGACAAGCTTTATGATCATACCAATAACTCCACATGCCCAAAAATTGACGAGTGCATGATTCCACTGCTTCGTGACACACATTTGAAATAGTAGTTTTCAAAGTGGTAAAGCTACACAAGTGACTGATCTCAATTATAAGTTTCAAGAGTTTTTAACCCTTTGAGCCCTCTGTGCCGAAGTATAGATATGAAGGCAATGCGACAAGTACTCCGGTGTAATGAAAGCTTGATATGACACTCACACCTAAGTATGTGCTTACAGAAATAAAACTATCTTTTGGCCATTCCCAAAGGGGGGATATTAACATGTTCTTATGCACAGTAGAATTGTAGATGGGCTGATTTATATTTGTTATGCTCATACTGTGCCGGAACAACATAGGGGTAACTCCTGCTTTTTCTTTCCTCATCCTATCGTCATTTTTTCCTCTACTTCTTTTGTATGTTTGTCACTCTCTTGTGAACTGCTATTTCCGGGGCGCCTTGATAGTTGAAGCAGACTTTGTGCTGTTGAGGCTAGAGAGGTAAGCGGAGTAAGTCTGATTCCTCGTTTGGACTTCTCTGTTGACATCTGCCCGTTGGCGCTCATATGACCTTATGCAGTTGCGAGCACCGTAAAACCTTACCAAAACTAAACTTAAAAATACAATGTAAGTACAAAACAGCAGCATCAGTATACACCGCCATCATAGTGATATTACAACAACTGCAAAAAATCTGATGAATAGATCAAATCAGTACTAAAATCAGCTTTAGAAAAGTGTACCTAAAATATCAATGAAATCACTCAGGAGCCGGGGGTTTAGCCCACTTAACACTTTCCACTCAGGCAGCGCGCACAGTGCACTACTCTTGGCCCCACATACCAGGATGCTGATGCGCTACATCATTACTATATCTGTATCTCTGCAAAAATAAACCAACCTATATGAAATTATCAGCATATTGAGAAAATTGAACATGATGATCACATATTCACCAAAAAGGAATTAGAATCGGAAATGAAGACATTAGATCTAGCACAGTCATCACCTGAATTCTCTTCCTGGCATAAGAGTAAAGCAGCTCTCATGCCAGGTCTACTCAACATTTTTTTTTTTTAATTCCTCCGATTGTTGAAAACGAAATAATTTTTGACCTGAAAGGAAATTAAAATTATAACTTTAAAAGGAGATCAGTGCTACCTTTTGGTTGTTGTTATATCACACTGTTGCCAATCGGGTAGGTTTTGTCGAAAATTATGCTTTTTCCCCTGACGCTGTGGACAAGCCGTCGTAAATCATTCACCTGTCGTTATTGTCAGTCCCTCAAATGGATGAAACGGTCATGTTGCTCAGGTCGCTCCCAATGTTTACCCAAGTTGACCAATGGATAACAATAAATCTTCAACTGCAAGTTAGGGAAGCATGTGATCCGTCATAACCCATAAGCCCCCGCCCTCAACTCACTCCCTAAACCCGATCCATAACTATAGAAGTCAACACAAACTCATGACAGAAGTGTCGCTTGTTTGCCGAGTGGTGGCGACCCGTTTGTTTTACTATGGCACTTGGTGTCTTTCCCGTCTAACACATTTCGTTTTGTTTTGACCTTTCACGGAACTAAAATGTTTTCAAAAGTAATAATAATAAAACTAACAACAAATAGTCCAACAAAAACTGTCCTATCCTCTCTCCCCTTTCAAAAGAGAAAAAAACAACAACAAAAAACCCCCCAAAAAATTTTTTATGAGCCCTACGATAGTCCTAAGCCTGCGACCACCTCCGGTTGAGATGTCACCAATAATAAATGGTTTGTTTTCTTCATTTTGATAAGTCCCGCCTAAGATGGCCACCTGTCATATATGACCACTTTTCTCGTCGACAATGCGTGGCCGTCTTACACAGGTTCGGCTGTACGTATGTTCTGTCTTATTGCACTTCTGTTCTAATGTATTGTGCAAATGTTTTGTGTTTTTGGACAAATGCTCTGTCTTATTGTGCGAATTTCCTATGCTTTTGTGCAGATTTTCTATCTTGATGTACGAATATCCTATGCTTTTGTACGGATGTTTTATCTTGTCCGAATATCCTATGGTTTTGTACGAATGTTCCGTCTTATCATTCCTTCTTACAGGTTATGCTCCCATCCCAGTGGACAAGTCCCCTCCCGGCAGTGCCCCGAGAGCCCCATCTGGCCCAGCCCCATCAGGAGCGGCTGCGGGCCGACCTATCGCACAAACGGCCCCGGCCCCACGACCAGCGGCCCCACGGGCAGCGGCCCCACCTGCTGCTCCGGCTGCCCCTCAGGCCGGGGGCTCTGGTCAACGACCACCTCCTGTACAGCGGCAAGCTTGTGAGTTCAACCCCCACTTGACTACGCAAGCTCACCGAGCACAAGAAATCGGGGGGCCAGCCTTCGTTTTCGGTGATGCAGAATAATTCTCAATCCGCGAAGATGAAGGCTGGCGCTTGATTTAGCGGTTGATTGCCTTTAATTTGATCCAGTTTATAAATACTTCCAGTTTCCTACTTTTGGGAAGCTTTTGATGCAGCTGTCAAAGCTATTGAAAAATCTTCCGCCTGGGCCCAAAATGATGCCATTGAATGATCCTGTTCAGTAGAATTTCAGTTTCATTTTGTACCAACTTTCATTTTCATGACTGGAATTCGGTGTTTTCAATGTATTTTATGTCAAAACTGGAAAGATGGAGTTATTTCAAGACAATACTAAGCTTACAGATAGACCAATAGTAAAGTACTTACCTCTAAGGCCAAAACAACTGGTTTAATCCTCTATTGCTGCAGGTTTTTGGTGAGAGACGAAACTTGATTACTTGATAATTTGATCCTGGGAACAACATCCTAGCACTCCGGGCATTGCCATACGTGCTCCACTCCCCGCTCCAATATCCACCTCAGAGTCCACCTGCTGATTTTTCCGGTGTTCAATTGGTTACTAGGCCGTCTTTCCATCCCCTGCACCATGCTGGTTTTACCACATCCTCTAAAGACACCCAGTTCTTCAAGTCCTAAGATTGGCACATAGTGCTCAATCTCCTCATCTTCAAGTGTGGTGGCAAGGGCCTTCACGATATCATTTTTGTCCATTTTAATGTCAGTATTGACTGGTGCATGGCTCACCAGTTTGTCTGCTAATTGAAACAGAAATGTGAAATAGACATTGTTCAAAATAGACTTCCTACTCTGAAAGAAGAATCCTGTTTTCAGGGGCTAGAATAAGTTCAGCGTAAGAAAATGTCTCTATGAAAAGGCTGCATTGTTTTGTTGTTGTTGACAGAGCAAGAACAGACAGATATAGAAATTAATTCGTACCAACTGCAGTGAGGTTACTTAATTCGTACCAACTGCAGTGAGGTTACTGAACACACAGTGTTACAAATGAAACAGAGAGAGAGAGATAGAGAGAGAGAGTTTTACAGGGAGAGAGAGAGAGAGAGTTTTACAAGGAGAGAGAGAGAGAGTTTTACAGGGGGAGAGAGAGAGAGAGAGAGTTGTACAGAGCCGGTGTTTCAGGACGTGAGACATGCATTTACTAATGTCCTGTCTTGTTGTGCGTATGCGTGAGTGCACCTAAGCTCTGTAACATCTACTTTCATTGTAAACGACCAAGACAGATTTCTCCCTGCCAGATGAATAAAGATTGTCGTTTTCATTGTCATTGTCATTGTCAAATAAACTGACTCTTTTTCTCTCAATATTACTCTGACAGCTGCAAGGAAAAGCCTTCATTCTCGATCGGAGCAGCAGCTGGCATTTCTTCGAGAGAGGCTTGGGGAGTTCCGCCAGGCAGCTATGAGCGCGAAGAAAAAGCATGACCTTGAGCTTGCAAAGAAATATGTGCGCATGATGAAGGTAGATGATTCTTTTATGATTCAATTATCTTTACAGTGGGAAAGAGTGAGCAAATAATATGTGAGGGCTTCAGTTGACTTCACAGTGTGATTGATATGGAAACTTTTTTTTTTGCTTATCTGGTTTTACGTTATGGAAAAAAAATTGTTGTTTGGGCCTTGAATTTAAGATTAGTGAGAAAGAAGTACTATCAAAGGCTACACTGTCTTAACTTTTTTAAGAAAATTGATTTTACATCAAGAAAACTTCACCTCGTTCATTATATTACGATAAATTAATTAACAATCATTGTTGTAATCCCCCCCCCCCCCCCCGGCAGTGCTACTGACTGTAGTGTCTTTACACCATTCCCAAGGTGGGGATATTAACATGTTCTTATGCACAGTAGAATTCTAAATGGGCTGATTTTTCAATGTCATGCCCATACTATGCTGGAACAACATAGGGGGAACTGCTGCTTTTTCTTTCCTCATCCTTACTATCGTCATTTTCCTCTACTTTTGTATGTTTGTCACTCTCTTGTGAACTGCTAATTCCGGGGTGCCTTGAAAGTCGAAGCAGACTTTGTGCTGTTGAGGCTAGAGAGGTGAGCAGAGTAAGCCTGATTCCCCGTTTGGGCTCCTCTGTTGACATCCACCCCTTGGCGCTTATATGACCTTATTCAGTTGCGAGCGCTGTAAAACCTTACTAAGACTAAACAAACAAGAGTGAGCAAATATGTAGGGGCTTCAATTGGCTTCACAGTGTGATTACTAGAGGAATATTTTTGTTATTATTTGCTGGATCTGGTTTTACTTTATGGAAAAAAAATTGTTGTTTGTGCCTTGAATTGAAGATTAGTGAGAAAGTAAGTAAGTAAGTTTATTCAGTGTTTATTAAGGCCATTGGCCCGCATCACATCACACAAAACACTCATTTGATAAATAAAGTTTCTATAATGAATAGGTACAGGTTGTGCATATATCTCTTATCATGAGTCAAACATTGCATATTTCTGTCACTGGGCCGAATTGGGCTGGGAGGGATTAACAATTTCCTTTGATGGACAAAGTGTGAACATCAGAAAATAAAGTGAAATTTTCATGAGAGTTACACCTCTCACATAAGGGCGAATTAGTTCATTTCCACCGATAGAGATTGTTGTTTAATGGAAGGCTATGGGTTTTTAACAAAGCTATGACTCTTCTACTCCAATACCGTGAGAGGTTGGTGATATATTCAGCTGTTTCTTGAAATGGAGAAAGAAGTACCATGAAAGGCTGGACAGTCATTACTTTTTTAAGAGAATTGATTTTACATCAAGAAAACTTCACCTTGTTCATTATGTGAGGATAAATTCATTAACTGTCGTTGTTGGTGGTTCATACGCCACCAGTTGAGTAGCCGTTGTTGTTTGCTAATATTCAATGTTGCTGATACTTTTCTTGAAAAGAAAATAAATGAAGTCAGCTGGTATAAGTCATTAGTTGTTGTGCGTGAGATATTTTTATCATCTTGTCCCTAAGTTCTTTTCCCTGAAATATTTCTTTCTTTCACTGACAGGGGCTGGAGCCGATGATTGAAGCTTTAGAAAGTGGACTGCCGGTGGACTTGTCCCAGGTGATTTTTATAAACTATAATTTACTTCTTGTTTTTCCCCCTCGTCCTTGATTTGATGCCGAATATTGGTGAGTTATAAATAGAACCTGATAATGTAGTAAGTTTCTGTTAGCGTTGGTTTGTTCAGAACAACAGAAAGAGAGTCTTTTTAAAAATTTCCCTGCACTAGGACACTATGTCACCATTTTTGTACCGATGTGCTCCTCTTTATTCAACGTGGGTGCTTGGAGGGTGCTCTGGTGTGGTTTGCTCCTTCTTTCCAATCAAACATCTATTGTCCTGATCTCTCCTCCTTCTTTTTTATGTTTGTTACTCTCTTGTAACACCCTCTAATCTTCGGCACTTATATGACATTATTGTGTTGCAAGTGCTGTAAAACTCGAAACTCTTACTAAAACTCTTAACTCTTTACTCAACACCCCCCCACCCGGGTGGTGCCACTGACTGAAGTGTCTTAAGGCCATTCCCAAATGGGGGACCTTGACATGTTCTTATGCACTGTAGAATTGTAAATGGGCTGATTCAACAATGTCATGCTCATAACTGTGCCTGAACTACAACAGGGAACTGCTGCCTTTCCTTTCCTAATCCTTCCTTTCGTCCTTTTTCCTCTACTTCTTTTGTATGTTTGTCACACTCTTGTGACCCGCTATTTTCGGGGTGCCTTGAATACTTGATAGTCGAAGCAGACTTTGTGCTGTTGAAACTAGAGAGATGAGCTGAATAAGCCTGATTCCCTGTAAGGACTTCTCTCTTAACATCCACCTTTTGAAGCTCAAGTGACCTTATGCATTTGCGAGCACCGTAAAACCTCTGCTAAAACAAAGCATCTTTACTCCAACAAACAAATGTTGCAATCAGGTTCCCCCATCACCCTTCAACTCTGATGAGTCGGAAGACAAGTTTGTGGTTGTGTCTGTGGAAGATTGCCAGCCCACAGGAGACAGAGAGGAGGTCTACAAGTCTTTGCAACAGGACTTGGTCAGGCAGATCAGGGTCAGTATCTGGACATTTGGGTTTTGGCCTTTGGATAAATTGGGTTCATTCGGAAAGTTCATATCTGAATTTGAGAAATGTTGTTTCTCTGTTTCAGCAGATGTTGATTTGCATTTGGAAAGTTAGCATTTGGGTTTAAGTAAATTGGACTGATCCGCAAAGTTAATTATTGGAATTTGGTAAACCTGGATTGGTGTTGGGAAATTAAGCTGTTGAATTTAGGCAAATGAAGGTTGGGTTTAGAAATGCATATTTTGGAGTTCAGAATTATGCAAATTTGAAAAAAGAAGTACTGGGTTTTAAGTAAATTTGGATTGGTTTTTACATCGATTGTGGATTTATGTAAATCCCGGATAGTGTTTGGTGCTAAATTATTGAGTGAAAAATGCAAATCTGGATCAGAATTTGGAAAATTAGTTATTGGGTAGGCATGTTGTGGTTACTATATGGAAATTTGGTCATTGAATCTCGGTCATCAGTGTCTATTTTGTTTCTGTAATTAAGTATCTGGTTGATGTCTGGAAATTTTATCTCTGCATCGGGCTAGTCGTAGTCGGTATGCAAAAATCAATTTCGAGATATCTTTAAAAACTTACAATTTCAAAAGTCAATTAAGCTAATTCTTTTTGACAGTCGTGTATACATTTTCAATCTCAATTTTCACATTTTATCTGGAGTTACCTATATTTTCAAGCTTGATTTTCTCGTAAAGCTGTGTTTATTTTCTATCTCAATTTTCACAGAGAGTAACGTATATTTTCAATGTCCTTTTTATTTTGTTATCCACAGGTGTGTGTGACTAATGCTCAACATTATCAGAAGCTAGGGGATATTCCTGCTGCGGCAAAGTAAGTTGAAAGTCAAGTCAAGTTTGTTTGTAAAGGTTGGAGGGATAGATCAAGGTGAGATACTCCGGGTAAATGAAAAATTATTATGAAAAGTAAAGTTTACTTAGGTTCGCTTATTTAGAAAAATGTGCAAATTCGGTATACCCCCACCCCGAAACTGAGAATATACTCTGTTGGTACGGTAGGAGATACGAGTGCTGCTGAAAATATACACGCTCGGGGCTGGAAGGGTAAGCAAAATTAGCTAAAGACGCTCCAAGCACAAATGAGGATTAAACTGTTGGCTCTATGTTTGTGAGTCCGATGCATGCTCAGCTACTCCAGCCCCCCCCCCCCCCCCCCCCCCTTTGCTATGATGACCACCAGCTGATGTGTAGTGGTTAAGCTCTTTGTCTTGTTAGCAAAAGACCTGAGGTGGATTCAGTGTGTGGGAAGATGTATTATTGAATATCTTTGTCAGTTTTTTGTTGTTTTTTTTGCTTGGTGGTGTATCCCAACACAGGCCAGCAGGTTAACCCGGACAGACAGAGTCAAAGCACTCCCTCCTCTTGCATGATCTTCATTATTTTGGGAGGGGGCATTTAAGATCTAGTCATTTCTGAGAGTGACGCTAACATAAGATGCAACTCTAGGTTTGTTGTAACAAAGAACTTTTTCTGAAGCCTCTTTATGATATAGGAAGTCCTTAAGTACGTTGAAGATGTATTTATTTTGAATTGTATAAATATATAAATATTTATATATATATAACTATTGTCATATCAAAAAGAAAAAAAAATATATACCATTTATACAAATAGACTATAATAACAGAGTGCAATGAAATAGTTCATGTTACAACAAATCTAAAAGGTATAAACAGGTATGATCTTTTCTTGCAGGTTTCAAAAACTGGAGCAAAACAACAGAAGAGATCTGGAATCACTGAAGAGTGCATTCCGGCATGGTGACCCTTCCCCTAGGTTTCACTATGAGACGAGGAGCTTTTCAATGGTTCAGTAAGTTACAATGTTTGAAACTCAAAAAGTTGACCTCTGTCCCCCCACCAGGACAGTACTACTGACTGAAGTGTCTTTAGTCCATTCCCAAAGGGGGGATATTAACATGTTCTTATGTACAGTAGAATTGTAAATGGGCTGATTTATCAATGTCATGCTCATACTGTGCCGGAACAACATACGGGGAACTGCTGTTTTTTATTTCCTCATCCATACTATGGTCTTTTTTCCTCTACTTCTTTTGTATGTTTGTCACTCTCTTGTGAACTGCTATTTCCGGGGTGCCTTGATAGTCGAAGCAGACTTTGTGCTATTGAGGCTAGAGAGGTGAGCAGAGTAAGCCCGATTCCCTGTTTGGACTTCTCTGTTGACATCTACCCCTTTGACGCTTGTTTGACCTTATGCGTTAGCGAGCACCGTAAAACCTTACTAAACAAACAAGACCTTTGTTCCTTGTGTCCTTTCAGTCCACACCAGTGTAATGGTTAGGCTCTTTGCCATGATAAACAGAAGACGCAAATTACAAATTATTTCATTTCTGTCTGTTGTGATGATGGCTCGCCTTTATTTTATCTTGTATTATAATCCGTCGAAGATTATTTTTTTGTTAGGGAATAAAACATTCTTATCTCTCTATTCTATTGACACCTCAATCCAGTTCACTGATCATTTGCAATGTTAAGTATTTGCCAGTGCCTGACTAGTGTTTTACACCCGAAATACATTTTTGACTTTCATGTTTGATTTTGTAGGGGCCTTTTCCCCTAAATAAGCAAATCCCGACCTCAGTGCTTTCTTATCCTTTCTCCATATTTTTTTAACATTGAAAATGTGACTTCTTCTTCAGCTCCCTCTTTTTTTTCACTGTTATGAAAAGTGGAGATAGGGCAAGAAAGCACTGAGGTCGCGAAATGGAGACTTTGATTACCTGTTTGTAAGATTAAAGTTTATATATATTGTTTTCCAGTGAAGTGATTCAACTTATGTAGCTGTAGTTGAAGAGGGGTTTTTTTGTGACTGAAGTGAACTTTTCTTTGGTCTGCACAGGGTTTGTGTATGCAAGGGCTCAACTGTATAAAGATTGAGGAACTTTTTGCTGCAAGTTGGACTGTGTTGAAAAATAGACCTCACTCTGATAGTTGTGATTTTAAAAATGTTTTCAGGTGTAACACAGATTTGGGTGATGCGGATTTGGAATTGACCGTCATCAGAGGTATCCAGTACAACTTACCATCAGGTACAGTAATAGATTTTCTCCCAAGTTCATCCCCTTGCTTATTATGAAAACTTTAAATTTGAGAAATGAAACAAAACAATTTTATCTGCGTTGGTGGTGACATCTATATTCTAGCACCTAGATTCCTGAAGATCCTATTTTTAGAAAGCCAACTACCTTAGAGTATACAGTATTTCTTAATATATAAATAGGAATGACTACATCCGCTGATAGTGATTGAGCTGTAGTTAGAGATAGGGTGGCTCAATAAAGGCTGAATTTTGCCTGGACCTGACTAGAATGATACTGACATTGAAAACTAAAGTGAAAACAGACAGTACCAATAGTTGCATAAAAAGTTAAAAATCAACCCTGCCTTGTCTTTTTTTAAATTCCATGAATCATAATAATATATGAGGCTACTATCCATAAGACCATTTTTTTGTTTCCCCTCGGTATGATACATTCTTTTTTTTGTGAGTCTAGTTCTTGCCCAGTTCTTCCATAGCTTTCACTTGACTGAGGTAACAAGAACTTCCTTCCATTTAATTTAAATCCTTTATTTGAGGCAGCTTGGAGGTCTAGTTTCCATGGCTTAGATATTGAACTTATGCAGCTTCATGTTGAACATTAAATATCTCAACTGTATTTACTATCTCAAATGGGTAAAACACTTTGCATTGCTATAACTCTGTTATGCAAAAAAACAAAAAAAGAAGAAAAGAAGGCAACTTTATTTTCCATTCATTTAGCATCTGCTGCTAGGTATTTCAGCAATGAATTAAAAGAATTTTTCTTGGTTTTCTTTGCCCATCAGTAATTTGTATGATGTTTTGTGATTGCTGTTTCTAACCCCAGGTTACTCAGAGAAAGACATGGACACCCAAGTGAAGTACGAGTTTGCCTATCCTACCGTGAGTAGAACTGAAGCAGACTCTTCTCATATCATACTTCAGTTATACTTACTGCCCATACTTACTGTCCATAGTCACCATGTTTTTAAAGAAATTTGTGTCATTGGACTCAATTTGACGGAGAGTTTTGCAGGACTCAACCCTCTGCTTCTTTTGCTCATTTGTCAAAAGGCGGGGTACCCACCGCGCAGACACATTATTCATGTTAAGATGGTCAATTGGTCCTACACTGATTCCCGTTTCACTTGAGAGCTGTTTAACAGTTATATGTCGGTTTTGTCAAACCAGTTTCTTCACTATGGATACATTCTGTTCAGTTACCACAAAGGTTGGGCGCCCTTCACGACCTTCATCAATCACTGACATGGATCCAGATTTGAATATTATTACCCAGTATGTCACAGTATTATAACGAGGACATTTGTCACCATAAATGTGTACCACATCCAGAAAAATGTCCGAAGGGGATTTTCCTTGCAAGTGTAAACACTTGATAACTGAGCGATATTCAACAGGCTCCATGGCACAGCTTCAGCAAAGAAAAACCAAATAGTTTTGTGCACGGTTTCATTGAACACGCTGACTATTACCTTGTTATTGTCGGATTGTCCCGGAAATTTGCACTGTGTGTTTCAAAGAAATTATCTAAAGGTTGGCGAAATTTCATTACTCTACCATGATTCCTTCATACCCAGACCAAAGACTTATTGAGCCCCCCTCGTTCTGAAGAACAGATGTCTTACTAGAGAGTAACATACACAAAACAGAAGGAGGAGAGATAAGGACAATAGATATTTGATAGGAAAGAAGGAGGAGAGCACCCGCCAACCACCCTCATGATGATGTTTATAACTTTCCAGAGTGGATGGTTGGCAGGTGCTCGGTTTGCTCCTTCTTTCCTCTACCAAACACCTATCGTCCTGATCTCTCCTCCTTCTCTTTTTCTGTGTTTTGTTACTCTCTTGTTTATCTGTTTGTGTTTCAAGGTGTAAAATATTATCGCTGCAGGTCCAGTCACTGTAAGTTTACGGCTGTTAGTTTTAGTTTTAGTAGAGGTTTTACGGCGTTCGCAACTGCAGAAGGTCCTCTGAGCGCCAGAAGATTAGAGGTGTTTCAAGAGAGTAACAGACATAAAAAAGAAGAAGGGGAGATAAGGACGAGAGATTTTTGATAGGAAAGAATAAGCAAACCACACCAGAGCACCCGACAACCACCCACAAGTTTAAGGCTGCAAGTGACTCTCTTGTCTATTCTCAGCATAATGACAGGTTTTGCTGGAACTGCCTCTCCCTTCTTTTTGTTCTCAGGAAGTTGAGATTGTTTCAGAATGCTATCAGGTCTGCTGGGGTAATAATATAGATTGTAAAACGTACAAAGCTTGCTGTTGAGCTGGAATTAGCGCTATACAAATGTTATCTAATTATTATCATTAATGACACAATTTATTGTCGCCTTTATAATAAGGCCCAGTGTAGTAAGTATTACAGGAAAAGCAAAAAACTTCCTCCAATCGCAAGTATCTCGACTTCTATTAAAGATATTTGGATTGGGTTTTTTTTTAATCAAAAGCAAGACAAAAGTACAAGCTTTATGATGATGCCTATATAACTCCACATACCCGAAAATGGACGAGCGCCTGACTCCACCCCATTGTGACACAATTAGTTTAACTTGATGCTCATAAAAAGTACCTTATGTATCAATTTCAGCTTATTAATTTGTTTTCATGTGGAAAAGCTCATTCATCTCTTACCTTCTCACGGGGCTCTCATGGCCTAGAGGTTAAGGTGTTCGCCTCTCATTCTAAGGTCCCGGGTTTGAATGCGGGTAGCGACAGAAAAATTTTCTGCTCTAAAATTGTCTCCTTTCACCTCCTTTCCTGCTGTCTTGCAATATTCTGTTGTCTGATTTTGTCTACTCTTTCTGAACCCACCCCCTCACCTCCTTTGCACCCTCCTCTGGGCTCCTGACTCTTTCTGCAGCCTTTCTACTGTTACTCCTTGACTCCTTCTTACTGCTGTCTTTCGACCACACCCCTGATCTTCCGGTAGGAAAGATCTACACCAAGCCTTCTCATACAAGGGCGAAAATTCTTGGAGGTACCGTGTGCAAGTTGCGCCCGTTAAAGATCCCTCGGTGGTCTAAAGTCGATAAGAGTAGGCTTCGGCCGCCACCCACGCAAAATTCAAAATTCCCTACCAACTGAAAAAGTTTAATGTGTCCCACGCCCTCATATGACCTTATGCAGTTGCGAGCGCCATAAAACACTTACAACCCCCCCCAAAAAAAAAAGGAGAAGCTAATTCATCTCTCACCTTCTCATCACTTGTTCTGTGTTTTGTGCCCAGGATGAAGTGCAGTCTGGTGGAACTGGGACTGTGAAAGACTCCATTAATCCAGGTACAGTGCATTATTTCTGGGTACTTTTTTTGTTGTTGCTTCATACAGTGCCTCGTTTGTCTTCAATTTTGCCAGTGAGAGCTAAATAATAATGATGATAATGATAATAATAAAAAAAGGATTGTTTCAACAGTGCTCACTCCCTGGTGGCTTTTTGCGCTTCACAATAAAAATAATATTTACACAGCTTCCACACTGACAGGTTTTAAGCTGACCGGCCCTATACTTCTCCCTCCAAGACTTAACATTGGTAACACTCTCTACGGAACATTACAGCAACTGCAGCAAACCTGCACTTAACACTACATGGCATTGGACAGAAGGGCGAGAGCCCAGCTGTTGCTGGATAGATTACAACAACTGCAGTAGCATGCTGGTTGTTGCACTGGTTGTTTTTGTGTTTGTGATCAACTGGTGTCCAATTTTTACTTATCATGCCACAAGTTGTAATATTGTTTTTGTGTTTTTGATCAACTCTAGTCCAATTTTTACTTATCATGCCACAAGTTGTAATCTTGTTTTTGTGTTTTTGATCAACTCTAGTCCAATTTTTACTTATCATGCCACAAGTTGTAATCTTGTTTTTGTGTTTTTGATCAACTCTAGTCCAATTTTTACTAATCATGCCACAAGTTGTAATCTTATCCTACTGTTGTTATTTTTTCTTTCAGAGTACAATGAGACCTTCAAAATTTCTATTAACAGGAAGTCAAAAGGCCTTTTCAGATTTGTGGATAGAAAAAGTCTGAAACTGGAAATCTTTATAAAAAGGTACTGTACATTAGTTGTTGTGAACTGTTGTTTTTAGATTTGTTCAAGTTGTGCTTTGAGGGAGTTTGCTTGAAAGAATTATTTTTTTTCTTTGAAATTAGAAAAATCTATTGTCCGCCTTCTATTCTTTTTTTCCTTCTCAATCGCATCACAAAAGAAGCCCAGTATCTGTCATACACTGGGCCACACTGGTCAGTCTTTCTGTCGACCCTCTCAGCTTCTTCTGTTGTATCAATGGTACCCACGGGGCGGTGCTACTGACTGAAGTGTCTTTAGGCCATTCCCAAAGGGGGAACATTAACATGTTCTGATGCACAGAGATGGGTTTCGACCCTGGCCGAGAGGGATCCAACATCCCGACAGAAAGACTGAGATGCTAGATAGAAATTCTCCCCACACAGGAAGCGAACTTGGGTCTTCTGTGTGCAACGACAAATCACCTAACAGCTAGATCACTGACATTGTAATTTAGCTGACAAGATACATTCATTTTCTATTGTTAAGTCAAAATCAAATGAAAATTTGTTGTTCGACGCTGGTAAAATTTGTTTACGAGATGTAAGACAATATGTTATGAGCAGCGTCATATTTATCTGATTTCATAACAGGAGCTTTTTCAAAGGTGACAAACTTCATGGCACGGTCAATGTGAAGCTTCAACCCCTGGAGAGTCAGTGTACATTACATGAGAGTTACGATGTGAGTATTTTGTTACAATGTGAATATTTTGTTATGATGCAAGTGTTTTGTTAATATGTGAATATTTTGTTATTATGTGAGTGTTTTGTTATTATGTGAATATTTTGTTATTATGTGAGTGTTTCATTATGATGTGAGTATTTTGTTACCATGTGAGTGTTTTGGTATTATGTGAATAATTTGTTATTATGTGTTTCATTATGATGTGAGTATTTTGTTACCATGTGAGGGTTTTGTTAATATGCGAGCGTTTTGTTATGATATGAGTGTTTTGTTATGATATGAGTGTTTTGTTACGGTACAAGTATTTTGTAACAATGTGAGTCTTTCGTTATGATGTGAATGTATTGTTAATATGTGAGTGTTTTGTTATGGTACAAATACTTTTTAACAATATGAGTGCTTTGTTACGATGTGAGTATTTTGTTACAATGCGTGTGTTTTGTCATGATTTGAGTGTTTTGTGATACAAGTACTGTGATCCTCACACCCAACAACACTGGTCTCAACAAAAGCTCACTTCATGATAAATGTTATGTTCGATTTTAGTTGGTCTTAATTACAAACAAGTGACATGTGGGTGGTTGGTGGGTGCTCTGGTGTGGTTTGCTCCTTCTTTCCTATGAAACATCTATCGTCCTTATCTCCCCTTCTTCTTTTTTATGTTTGTTACTCTCTTGTAACACCTCTAATCTTCTGGCGCTCATATGACCTTATGCAGTTGCGAGCGCTGTAAAACCTCTACTAAAACTAAAAACAAGTGACATGCTTAATATTATGTAAATTATTTTTGTATGTATACGTATGTAAGTAAGCTTCTCATATTCATCCCTTAATCCTCAAGTTCCATACTGTGGATACAAGTTTGTACAGAACTGTAAAAGGGTTTTATTTGAGTGCATTTTCTTCTTGTTGATGGACTTTTTTAGCAAATGGTACAAGTTGAAGAGAGTTGAGCTTTTATTGAAGGCTCCTTGACAGAAATTCTATGCCGTTCTAGCCAAATTGCTCCATAGGTAAAAAAAAAATGTACATCAAAATTTTTTCATCCAAAATGCATATCTGCTTAAAGTAGTTTGTTGAAGATTGCAGTACGTGTATGTCAAAGCGCATAAAGTGATGAGAAAAGTTGATGTCACTGTCACAAGCAACTGTTTCACTCTTCTTGTCTTTACCTTACAGGGAAAGAGAATAGATTAGCGAGTTACTTGTTTTTGTTTTGACTGCTATTGTGACTAAAGGTCCTTTTTTTTATTGTTTTGTTTTTGTTTTGACTTCTATTATGCTTTGTGACTAAGTGGGTGGTTGGTGGGGGCTCTGTTGTGGTTTGCTCCTCATTTCCTATCAAACATCTATCCTCCTTATCTCTCCTTCTTTTTTGTGTTTGTTACTCTCTTGTAACACATCTATTCTTAAACACTTATATGACCTTATTGTGTTGCAAGTGCCGTAAAACTCTTACTAAAACTAATAGTGACTAATAAAAGCTCTTTGCTTGTTGAGGGTTTTTGTGCGTGTGTGTGCATTTTTCTATTGTTTATCTGATACCGCATTGATTCTCTTCCCTCTCTATGATCCCACGCTGCCAGTTGATGGACGGTAGAAAAACTGTCGGTGGCAAGTTGGAAGTGAAGATCCGCATCCGAGATCCATTTAAGAATAAGCAAGTGGACGAGGTGAAAGAAAAGTGGCTGGTCATTGATCAGTTCATCAGGACAGTTGGCTCCAGGGTAAGAAATCTGGTGTTAGGCTGGATATGTGTGTGTGACTAAGAAAAAGGTCCCGAAGTTACATGAAAAGAAAAATCACTCCCCAGGGCGTTGCTACTGACTGAAGTGTCTTTAGGCCATTCCCAGAGGGGGGACATTAACCTTGTTCTAATGTACAGTAGAATTGTAATTGTAAATGGGCTGATTCATCAATGTCAAGCTCATAACTGTGCCTTAACTGCCACAGGGAACTGCTACTTTTTCTTTCCTCATCCTTTCTATCGTCATTTTCCTCTACCTCTACTGTATGTTTGTCACTCTCTTGTGACCCGCTCTTTCCGGGGTGCCTTGATAGTCAAAACAGACTTTGCTGTTGAAGCTAGAGAGGTGAGCCGAGAAACGCCCGATTCCCTGTAAGGACTTCTCTGTTAACATCCACCCCTTTGCGCTCATATGACCTTATGCATGCAGTTGCGAGCACTGTAGAACCTCTACTAAAACTAAAACTCGTTACCTATCAGTATAACTCACTGTGCTAATCAGTGGTATTGTGTATCGTCAGTGTAAATCTCTTATTTTACAATCTGTTGAAACAGAAAACAGGGATAAGTTTGTGAGTACACATATTTTGTTTGATTGCTTGATTTTCCTTTCAGATGAATTTCCTTTTATTTGAAATTTATTTCGGTCATTGATAGAAGAATTTGAATTGATGATAATATCATGGTGGTGAAATCAGGTGCTTGTCAAAATAAGGAAATCGAAGAAACCGGCATTATTCCTCCAGTTTCACAAATTTTGTCAATTTTTTGTCTTTTGGCTCAACACGTTTTATGTCCATATAAAAATAAATTTCTATGTGAATTGTTTCTGAAAAATGTTGATCAATGGCACAAAATATGTCCATTTTCAGTTTTCAGACTCTCAAGTTATAGAAGTTGCTAAACTTTGGCGGCCATTTTCTCGCTAATTTTACCTCAGAAAACAGGTTATCCCCACCTCCTTCCATCCGAAATATCTCGACTTCTATTCAAGATAGATGGGTAAAATTTTCACCGAAAGAAAGACAAATAAACAAACTTCTAGATTAAACCAATAACTCCATGTGCCCAAAAATTGACGAGCGCCTGATTCCACTGAGTCGTGACACATATTATTACACTTGCCAGTTGCAATGGGCTGGGCATGTAAAACTGATTTTGACTTTTGAAACTGACAGGAAATATTGCAAGCTCATGCATTTCCTTTTGTTTAAGAAATGAAGATGTATTAATGTTTTCATACATCAGTTGATACAAACTGTTTACTTATATTTTCTCATCAGAGCCAAGCTGAAGCAAAGGTGAGTACTGTTTGTTTATCTCACCACATTTCGCTATTCATTGTATGTAAAAGTTGTCAAAGGTAGACTGAAGATGGTGAAATATAACTTAACTGTCATATTTTAGATTGTTTTAAGCTTTATATTTAACTTAATGAATTAATGAACATTTTTCAGAGGAAAACTGAAATATTTGTGCATGATTATACTCATTTAAAAAATCAGACGAAAATCCAAACTGTTTTTTTTTTTAAAGTTTAAAAAAAAACGTTCTTTGGTCTAAGTCTGAGCCTCATTTCACTTGATGCAAGAAGATTTGTGTGTGTGCCTGGAGAAAGATTTCAGTTGTTGGAAATTGTGGATATTGAAATAAGGGCATATTGGTGTTGCAAATTCTATGCTGAACACATTGATTTAAAAATTGTACTAATGTCTTCAGTAGTTCTAAAGAAATAACACATTTTGTAACATAGGTTGTTAAAAACAAAGTTTGGAGGAAAACCCAATTTCGAGCAGATTTGTAACCTTTGGTGAAGTACGTGTTGCAAAAAAAACCCTAATGACCAATACTTAAACGTAATATATAAGATTCTTTCAATCTGTTAGTAAGAAAGGCTTCTTATCTGTAACAAAGTACAAAGAAAGATACAGAAGGTCATTTTTACCACGGTCCATCAAAATTCTTCCATCTTCACCATCTTGTTACAAGTACAGTAGTCTCCGCCTAAGATCCCACCGCTTACGATCCCGGTTCGCTTAAGATCCCCTTGTTTTAGGAAAACAGAATTTTTACTGTACAGAAGTCACCTTTAAGATCCCTCTCTGATGGTCTACATTCGGCTAAGATCCCGCATTTCAGATAATAATTTGCGAAACAAAAACCCAGGCGGGCACAGCCGATCAACCAAGAGTGAAAAGTTGAGATCAATAAACTGTCCGTTGCGTCAAAGATCAGCCACTATCATGAATGTGATCACATACACGTTGTAAAACTCAATGAAGCGATACAATGTTTGCCCGAGACGGGATCACACCGGGGTGTGAACTGACCGACTCGTTTGCTTTCCCCACACATCGCACTCACACCTGAGCTCTCCCCCTAAACTTGCATCACTCGCTGGGTGGGTAGGGCCTACACGTTCGCTCCAGGCGGGATCACATCGAACCGTGAACTCTTCCCTGACCTTTGCAGCAGTTGTCTCTGCTCCCGAATTTTCGACACAGACTGAATTTTAATTGATGTGTTCACAACATAATGATGTGTAACGACAAAGGCGGTTTGGGGGGGGGGGGGAGACTCGGTCAGAGATGGAAAGCTATACATTTTCGACAGGTAAAAGGGAGGGGCAACTGGATAAGCGTAGATCTTGAGACTCATGATAGGATAATAAGTGAAAATAGTACGCCTCATGCCACTATGCACCGTGATAGGTCATCAAGGTTAACCACTCTTTGCTCGCCATATGCCATAAACCCACCAAGTGGGCACGTCAGTTCATTGTGGAGTGGAGGGAGAACATTTTACCGATTGTGAGCCTAAACATGGTTCACCATAGATTCTTCCCTGGGTTCATCAGTTAAGATCCCGGTTCTCCTAAGATCCCGCATTTCATATGACCCTAGAACATGCATCAGAATAACATTGGGTTACAGTCAGCATACTGAGTATGTATCTTGGTTAAGATTTTTATTGTTTACATTACTGTTCATTTATATTATGCATGTGACTGTAAGCCTGTGTGTGTGTGTGCATATTTGTTTGTGTGTGTGTGTGTCTGTGTGCGTGCGTGCGTGTATGCATGTGTATGTGTGTACGTGGTGAAACACCAAACCAATGTGCCAGGATCTGGACAACAAAGATGTATCTTATCTTAAACATGCGTTTTCTGGTGGAACAAAATGTTTGACCTTGGACTACTTTTTTTTTTTTTTTATAGAGTGTGCGGTGGCGGAGCGGTTAGTGTGCCCGTCTCTGAAGCGGAAAGTCCGGGTTCGAGCCTTGGTTCGGACACGGATTTTTTTTACCCCCCTTCCCCACTCAGCAGTAATGGGTACCTGAGTTGGGGAAGTAAAGGCGGCGTGGAAAGGAACTGGCCACCCTACCACAATATGCCAAAGGCCCAGGAAGTTGTCTCACTAACAAGGCAATCCCCAATGTCCGGATCGGATGCGGGAACAACTTTAATTTTTATTACTTTTTTGGCCTTTTAACCCCGGTGCTCAAAAATAGCTTTGCTGACAACTGGGGCCTTTCTCCAGGCACACACACATTTTAGCGTTTATTGACGTGATACTTGTCTGAGAGACTTTTCTTGTGGTCTTGAGTCCGTTCAAAAGCCTAGGAAAAATGAGTGTTAGTTCAAACAAAATTAGTTAAATAGCCGTTCATCTTTATTTGGAACTTCCAAAGCATTCACATCTTTGAAATTTTTGTACCTTTATCTCTATCAGCACAAGTCAGGGGAAGTATTTGTATTTGATGACACTGGTGGTCTTTTCACACTATTAAATTTTCTTATCTGACATTTATATTTCACACCCCCTGGGTCGGTGGCTACTAACTGAAGTGTCTTTAGGCCACTCCCAAAGGGGGAACATTAACCATGTTCTGATGCACAGTAGAATTGTAATTGTAAATGGGCTGATTCATCAGTGTCATGCTCATAACTGTGTCTGAACTGCTTTTTCTTTCCTAATCCTTACTATCGTCATTTTTCCTTTACTTCTTTTGTATGTTTGTCACACTCTTGTGACCCGCTATTTCCGGGGTGCCTTGATAGTCGAAGCAGACTTTGTGCTGTGAAAGCTAGAGAGGTGCGCAGAGTAAGTCTGATTCCCAGTAAGAACTTCTCTGTTGACATCGACCCCTTGGCGCTCATATGGCCTTATGCAGTTGCGAGCACCGTAAAATCTTACTGAAACTAAACTAAAACATTTATATTTCAGACTTCTCCCAAGTCTCACAGGTAAGGAAATATGGATTCTTCTTTTTTAGTTTCATTTTGGTTTTTCTTTTTTCCTTAATGCCCTACTTTCAGACAGACCTTTTCTTTCACTTTTTGGAGTTAAGTTTTTTCCATTTTAATACAATGTGAAGGATTTTCTTATCTTTAATTTTGTGTCAAAGTAGAGTTAAGTGACTGTTGTTATCATTTGCAATAGAGTGAGTGTATGTATCGCATATCAACTTAATCAAGTTTGAGTATTGTTTGAAAATGCTTGGCGAGTCGCTTTCATCTGTTATTAATGGAAAGTAGGCATCTTTGCGACACAATCTGTGATGGTAACACAATTAGCTTTAACCTTTCCGTACGTCATGTTTTACTGTCATATCCATACGACGTGGGGAACTCTGTGCCTCGACTGTCCAAAGAGGAAATTTACTCGTTAATCCGATCCATACGCTTTGTATAGCTGTCTGTCAAAACGATTTTTTGAGAAATACTGAAAGTTTCAAAGAGAAGAGACCTTCGCTCAGGAAGTATTCTAAAATGTGAAGAATACAACCCCTGGGGTACAAAATGACCCCAGGGCGTACGGATAGGGTTAAGAGAAGACGTGAGATTATTGTTGACCCCAGTTTCAGCTCATGATTTAGCTAAGCTAAGCAAGGGTCTATAAGTCAGTGCCATGGACATGCTAAGTTCTCACTAACAAATGATAGCGGAGCCTTGTTTTTAGTTTTAGCAAGAGTTTTAGGGCACTTGCAACACAGATAGGTCTTATTAGTTCAGAAGATTAGAGGTGTTACTTGAAAGCAACACACAGTATACAACAGGAGGAGAGATAAGGATGACAGACATCTTATAGGAAAGAAAGAGGAAACCACACCAAAGCACCTACCAACCATCTGCACTAGAGCCTTGAAACTTCTTTGGGTTATAGATACATGATTTTGTTGTTCCATGCATAACTGAAATGGTTAGGGTGATATTCCTCTGTTTAATCATGGCAAGACCTATTACATGTGTAAAGCTATAAAGCTAGAGACTCTAGTTGGCGTGGCTGTCCGCTAATAACATCATACTTGTGACTGTCTCGGGCAAGGCCACTGTATGGATTGATACAATTATCATTTCTGCATGTATGGATGTACTTTTCAATAGCCTTGTTGTTGTGTCCACACAGCATGCTAGTGTTTGTGCTTTTGGTTCGTCAGTACGGCTGCACTCAGTGGGAATTGATGTTAGATTCAGGATTTCCTGCGCTGGTCAGAAGTCAATGGTCTTGTCATATCGTCACCTCAAAACTAATTTGTCCAAGGTGCCTCTTTACTTAACCCTATCCGTACGTCATGTTTTACTATCGTATCCATACGACGTGCGGGTGGTTGGAGGGCACCTCTGGTAGGTTCTACTTCGTTACTTTACCTCTGTTGTATCTGTCTGTCTGTCTTACTTTTTCCCAGCACTAAATGACCATTATTGTGTCAATGTGCTTCCCTTTACTCAAAGACCATACGACGTGGGGAACATTGTGCCAACACTTTCCAAAGAGGAAATTTACTCCTAAGTCCGATCCGTACGCTTTGCTTAGCAGTCTGTCAAAATGATTTTTTGAGAAATACTGAAAGTTTCAAAGAGGTCTTCGCACTAGAAGTATTCTAAAATGTGAAGAAAACAACCCCCCCCCCCCCCCACACGGACATAAAAAAGTTAAACAGTGTCATTATAATGTAGGAAAAAACCACAAGGGGGGGGGGGGGGGGGGGTAGTTTTTTGAATTGATGGTTGTCTTGGACACGTGGACACCGGACACCGTAAATCAGTGTTGTTATACTGTAGGGAAAAGCCACAAGGATTAAGGAGGGGGGGGGTAGTCTTTTTTTTTTTTAGTAAGTGTTTTACTGGGCTGGCAACTGCAAAAGGTCATATGAGGGCGTGGGACACATTAAACATTTTCAGTTGGTAGGGAATTTTGAATTTTGCCTGGATGGCCGAAAGAGGGAGGGGGCAAAGGAGGTGAGGGGGGTAGGGGCAGAAAATGGAGATGAAAGCAGACGACAGAACATTGTTGGAGAGCGTGAAAGGAGACAAATTTAGAAAAGAAAATGTTTCAGTCGCTACCCAGATTTGAACCCGGAACCTTTGAACGAGAGCCCCCGAATAGTCATTTGAACTGATGGTTGTCTTGGGCAGGTGGCAGGTAGAACAGGTTCTGACATAGTTTCCTTTGTCAGCTTAGGTTTTAGCATTATTTGTTGGTGAAGCAAGCAGTCTGAGCGATCAGTAAATAGCCAGGTTGTACCGGAGGTTGGGAAATGCTTTAACTCACTGACATTTTTGTGCATACTCTTGTTAGCTGTCACTGGTACAAAAGTCAACTCTGCATAAATCTGCTCTAATTTTTGCAGTCAAAATATTTAATAACAAAGATATCTATTACATTATTCATGGTGGTGACATAGATTTCGGTTCCTGTTTGTTCTAGTTTTTCTTTCTTTTCTTGTAGAATTAACAAAAACTTTGTGCCTTTCCAGTCTGAACAAAGGAAATACTCACAGTTTCTTGTATGATAATGATATGTGAGGCAGCGGGGTGAAATCATGTGCTTGTCAAAATAATGAAAGCCAAGAAACTGGCATTTTCCCTCAGGTTTTGAAATTTTTACCAAATTTTTGCTTTTGGCTCTTTCATGGCCTTTAAAGAACACATTTCTGTGTGGATTTTACTGAAGATGTAAAGTTTCAGTTTCCACGAACTCTCATGCTACAGAATTAACTCAACTTTGGCAACCATTTTGTTGCTGATTTTACCTCTGAAACCAGGCGACCCCCACCTCCTTCAATTCCCAATATCTTGACTTGTATCTAAGAAAAATGGATTATTTTTCATCAGAAGCAAGGCAAATGGATAGGCTATAAGATGATACCAATTACTCTGTATGCCCCAAAATTGACAAGCATCTGATTCCACCGTGTCGTGACACATATTCTTCCTTTTTCATTTCTATAAACCCCTGCACTTTGACTGTCGTCCCAGTTTAACATATTCTTTAATGAGCAATTTTTCTTGATGTTGTATTCACCTTGGAATGCTGCTTATTACTTGTCATCAAAAAGAATGTCCTAGAAATTTTCTGTTTCAAATACATGCTTGAGCTTGGTTCTTGTTTGAAAACTTTTGGATTCTGCTTGCTTTCTTGTAGCTCCCATGAGGCTTGATTGCTCTTTCATTCCTGCTGTACACTGTTAAATGAGAGTTACATAAGATATAATTTGGTCGCTTTTAAGCTCAAGGGGGCTATCCCGAAAAATGCTGTTTTGAGAAAATTGAAGGTAAAGTTTTTGGACCCTTATTCATTTTCTTTAAAAGACAAGGATAGTTTTCTCTATAACTAAACAAATATACACACCAATGAAACCAGACTTCTCCAATAGGTAGGGCAATGCCCATTTTTGGTGTAGGTCAAGATTTCTGGAAACCCTCAAAATCTGGGTAAGCCCGCTTGTCCTTAAAAGTGACCATTTGTTCTTGCTTTTTATAGGAGGGGTGGGGGGGGGGGGGGGGATATGAAGTTTGAAAAAGATGTTCCTCATTAAATAAAGTAATATGTTATTATAATGTGTCAGTTGTTTCAGAGATGTGCATTGTTTTATTACAAGAAAATTGTTTTCACATTTTAGTGGGTCTGTTGGGGGAAAGGGAATACAACGTGAGTTTAGTACAAAAAGTTTTTTTACCTGTATTTTTTTTTATGTGTGTAGATTTCTATTTTGTTTAATTTTGGGTTTAAGTTGGTTTTTTAAATAATTTTTTCATAGTCGCTTTTCCTTTCGTTATCACATCTGACCAATCATCCTGCTTTTTTAAATTATCTGAAAAAGATGTAAATAAAATATCTGAATTGATAAAGATGTGTGCCATTTTTCCATTTATATTAAATGGATATCATTAAATTCAAGAACTCTGCAATCATCTTTTACTGTATTTTGGTGTGCCTTAGGTTTAGATTTACAAAAATATCTTTATATTATTACAACTGTAAAACAATAAGTACATGTATATTAAAGAATTTTTTTTTAATTCTGTATGAGAAAAAGAGGTATATCTATATATTTTCTATTGATCTTTAAAAATTATTTTGATTGTTGTGAGGATGACCTATGAAAACGGAAGGGATCAAGTGCTCTCTTCTCTGCTGTCTGTGAACAGTATTGAATGAGACTGGGAGATGCACTTCAAGTTGAAATGTAGTAGCACTTTCAAACCAAACGCACTTCATGCTTTTGAGCTTCAACCATATTTTCTCTCTTTTTTTTTCTTCCTTCTATACAGGCAGTCTAAGATATGCGTAGTTGCCTAGTCGGTGACGGGTGTGGGATGATAAAGTTCTAACCAAGCTCAAGCATGCCTTGGACTCCTGCTCTGCTTGTTTCTTTAACGATAACAATCTCACCGCATGCCAAAGATGCCCAATGTTTTTATTGTCTTTGTCGCAACAACAAAAAAAGAGTGAGGCGTGCTGACAAAATTAGTTTCTTCTCGTCAGATTTAAGCTTGATGGAAATTGATGCGTCATCGTCAAATTTGGAGTTTTTACAATTTATTAGTATGAAATTGTAAAAGACATGTTAAACTTGAAGAGAATGGTGTCGTTGGTTTAGAATCTACAAATATGACCGTTGTGTCGATGTTTTTCAGATATCTCCATTCTTTGATTGCAAGAAGTAATTCATTTTGTCAGCACGCCTCACAAATGTGAAAAGCTCTAATTTTTCTCTTTTTTTATGAACTGTGAAGAACAGGTTCAAATGGAGTTACTCTATACATGTATTTTTAATTTATGGTTGTCTTGGACACGTGGACACCGGACACCGTAAATCAGTGTTGTTATACTGTATTGTAAAGCCACAAGGATTAAGGAGGGGGGGGGTAGTCTTTTTTTTTTTTAGTAAGTGTTTTACTGGGCTGGCAACTGCAAAAGGTCATATGAGGGCGTGGGACACATTAAACATTTTCAGTTGGTAGGGAATTTTGAATTTTGCCTGGATGGCCGAAAGAGGGAGGGGGCAAAGGAGGTGAGGGGGGTAGGGGCAGAAAATGGAGATGAAAGCAGACGACAGAACATTGTTGGAGAGCGTGAAAGGAGACAAATTTAGAAAAGAAAATGTTTCAGTCGCTACCCAGATTTGAACCCGGAACCTTTGAACGAGAGCCCCCGAATAGTCATTTGAACTGATGGTTGTCTTGGGCAGGTGGCAGGTAGAACAGGTTCTGACATAGTTTCCTTTGTCAGCTTAGGTTTTAGCATTATTTGTTGGTGAAGCAAGCAGTCTGAGCGATCAGTAAATAGCCAGGTTGTACCGGAGGTTGGGAAATGCTTTAACTCACTGACATTTTTGTGCATACTCTTGTTAGCTGTCACTGGTACAAAAGTCAACTCTGCATAAATCTGCTCTAATTTTTGCAGTCAAAATATTTAATAACAAAGATATCTATTACATTATTCATGGTGGTGACATAGATTTCGGTTCCTGTTTGTTCTAGTTTTTCTTTCTTTTCTTGTAGAATTAACAAAAACTTTGTGCCTTTCCAGTCTGAACAAAGGAAATACTCACAGTTTCTTGTATGATAATGATATGTGAGGCAGCGGGGTGAAATCATGTGCTTGTCAAAATAATGAAAGCCAAGAAACTGGCATTTTCCCTCAGGTTTTGAAATTTTTACCAAATTTTTGCTTTTGGCTCTTTCATGGCCTTTAAAGAACACATTTCTGTGTGGATTTTACTGAAGATGTAAAGTTTCAGTTTCCACGAACTCTCATGCTACAGAATTAACTCAACTTTGGCAACCATTTTGTTGCTGATTTTACCTCTGAAACCAGGCGACCCCCACCTCCTTCAATTCCCAATATCTTGACTTGTATCTAAGAAAAATGGATTATTTTTCATCAGAAGCAAGGCAAATGGATAGGCTATAAGATGATACCAATTACTCTGTATGCCCCAAAATTGACAAGCATCTGATTCCACT